TTGAACAGTCATCCAAGGTCGCGGCGCTCTTTGACCTTTGAGCTTGTGGCGGTTGACAGGTCAGACTATCAATTAATCATCTCTTGTAGCATTGATAGTAGTATACAATGCAGATAGATAAATAAGAAAGAAAACAAGAAAGTTAAATTAGATATGCCCAAATAATGAATACATGGAATAAAGAAGAATCTTCAGAGTCTGTGAACAGTTTCTCTTACATTTATAACGTTTTCTTCTCTATCCTTCCATACAGATGTGTTTCTCCTTTTGTCCACATGAGATTCCATCGACTCTACTTGTCCCCATAATACCGGGTTTCTCTGTTTTAGAAGCCACAGTCTTAAGGGCAATAAAACACCAATTATGTCTACTATATTACTAGATAACAAGTCTTTGTTATTTTTAAACATTTCGCATTCGTCTGGTGTATGGTATTTCGGCTGTCCCTGAAAAGATAACAACAATTTTTAAACAAATCGTAGGTCACTGTATTATCACTGATCGTTAACAACTAATGGTAATTTTTAAAGCACAGCTGAATAAATGAATTGAAATGAAAAGTTCCGATTAACAAATTCGAGGAAAACATTATTTTTTCGCTATTATTCACTCAAAGATGGAATCTTTACATGTTATTTCTAATTGTCATTCATTATTCGAACAAAACTTTGTCTGTTTTTGACCCCGAAAGTGCAAGCATTGTTATAAAAATGGCATTAATTCTTTAATGTAATAGTTTTCAAGATTACCGAGTTTTATTCTCATATCTACTTTTCTGTTATTCCTTTCAAGATCAGGAATATTTCCTCTATTTTAAGATCGGCCAGGCAATACACATTTTGAATTCTTCGATCAAAGCTTGAGTAATTCGAATCATTTTATACATACATAGCTAGCATCTGAAGGAGGTAGCTAATTCGTCATATGCTGATCTTATGTTGAGAAAACGACGCGTGGGGTGTATTCACGCACATGCGGTCCGTGCAGAGTACGATGTGCGGTGTCATTCATTCCTTTCGCAGTCAACAGCTAATAAACGGTTCTGATTTCTCGAACTGACACCAATTAGCTGATCAATTCAATGATTCATATTTTTGCTTTTAATCATTAATTTCGATATAATTATTTTCGTCTCGGTAATTCAAATATTTAGTTACTTTTACATTATTTTTCTTATCTTTTTATATGTATATATGATTATATATAGTATATTTAATACATAAGAGAGAAGATTTTTCTAATTTTAAATAACATTTCAGTAAGTACTACCTAATTTAGAATTAGATGCACAGTTTGATTATTAATTACCTCGCAAGCAGTACCGCATAAAGGTGCAACGTTGCATTTTGAACAAAGATATTGCGACAGTTTTCTTATTTTCGGTAGAAAACGCAAACAGGCGAAACACACGTAATCGTTACTGGAAATCGTTGGCCCAACAGCAATCGGTTTTTCTCGAAGTATTACTTCACCGGCAGTTAGATTTTTTGCTGATTGTAAATACCTTGAAAAGTAATGTTGTTACCATTTTCTTAATGCTGATTAAAATATAGCGTGGCGCAAACGATATTAATTACTTAATTTATTAAATTACTTAAATTTATTTAATTTTGTTCATAATTCAACAAAAGGAACTTCTAATATCCCGCTGATTCTAAAACAAGCAATAAGAGTTCAACGTAACAAGTCGATAACAGATATCATACGTGAGAAATTAGTTTCTATGTAAATTTTATTTTTCTAAGTTAATCGCTAGAAATGCAAATGAAACATTACTGTCCAGATTACTAATAAAAATGTATGTTACAAAAACTGACATACAAGGCCCGACAACATACTTTTCCTGTGTTAAAAGATAAGCTATAAAAGTATTACAGATATTACTCAAACTTTTATTGCACAATCGGAGAAAGCTATATTTATCATTTGATAATGAACACGATTAGGTAAATAATACGAAACACCAGGATCAGATTTCACGAACGTGTAAAGCGAAACGATAAACATTTAACTGATATAACGTTGAAAAGAATGGAAAAAGGCAGTATTCAATTAAGGAAATAAAATGGTAAACATTAATTTCCCTCATTATGGTTACAATTAAAATTTGCATAGTATCTATAACACATTTATTTATTTATTTTTCAAAACCGGGTGATTATTCTTTGCATACTGTATTATCGTTTATCAAACTTATAGATCTTAGGCCGAGTGTTACACAATTATAAAACCGCACATAATTTCGTGTTTATACCTGCCGAGTTTTTCTGACCGAGCAACATTATATTTTGATGTGGTAGTTACGCTGTTTTTGGACTTTTCCCCGAGTGCCATGCTTGACAGTGGTATTCCTACGTGTTTCGTTTAAAAAAATATGCAATGGCTTTGTGCAAATGCGAACTATACCGAGTTTTCCGAGAAGTGCGATGTCTTGCTCATTTCCGACGATTTGTAACTGACATAGAAACACAGGAAGTCTAAGCCAGTGCCGTTCCTCTCTTTGGTACACTCTTGATACGCTGCTATACATATTATTAGAAGTGAGCATGGCGCGTGAATGCCAAGCACTCGTGACAAAACAATACGTGGGCATTAGATTCGAAAATACATACAATGATTACCGATCATTAAACTGGACATTTATTTATAGCTTCTACGAGTGTGCTGTATACAGTAAATTGGTATCCTTCGCGTAGCTGGTTCTTCATTCTAATTTCATAGAAACCTTAACACTGAAACCAAACCTGTCAAGAAGACGAATTTCGAATTTCCTGTTTTAAATTACAAAAACTATTAATTTAAAAATATAAATTTGAATTTATGCTAACTATTGTTAGAATAATAGAATAAGTGTATAGGATGATTCACATAACTATTACAAGCCATATTTTTTTATGGTTGAAGTTAGAAAAAAATATTATAGGGCAAAAATGAATGGTTTAATATATTGCATGTATTCATAGTCACAGGTTTTTTATACGTGCAATAGTGTAGGTATATTCGGTAATTACACTATTTTTTAAAAATTGGAGTCTAACTTGTTCTTTGTATAAGTTGAATTCCTTTTTCATTTTACGTAAAAAGGTATTAAGATAATATAATGCAATAAATAATATAATTTTAATGCAATAAATAATATTTATTTTAGATAAGATAAGAATATTTATTTTAGACTTCTCAAGTAAGCTTCTGAAAATTACCCTTGAAAAAGATTGTAAGAGAGTGACAAGCGAAAATTGTAGAAGTTGATTTGTGCAATAGAATTGCAGTTATTATTCTCGCATAATTATCCACTCAAGTGTCAAGAATTTATTCTGGAAATAAACCTTGACTTGTCTATTAAATAATGACCATTACATATTTGGAAGTTAGAGAAAAGATAACTTTATTATTGTAGGTTATATTTTGTCGTTATACAGAAAGTTTTTTTTTAATAACTTTGTCTTTTAAGATTATGACAATAATGTATTGATGACAGAGGATGCGCATAGGCTTCCTCTACATTTATTATAATATAAACAATATCAGCATATCATTTTTTTTATTTCTTCATTCTGATTAAATAGGAATAAATAAAAATAAAAATATAGTTAAAAAATTGTAGGCAAATATAAATCTCAAAATATCCTAATTTTAACATAGAACAGTATGGTAAAAAATTGATACGATTGATCCAATCTTGAAATTATTCCTTACTTTAACCAACTTTTGATTTGCTACAATTGAGTGATTAAACTAATGAGAGTATTTAAACACAAGAATCGTTCTTTCCTTTTTCTTCTTTGTAGAAGGAAAAATTTAGTAAATCAGAATATTGTATAGAATTATAACGTCATAAAATCTTTAAAAAGTTTGCTGAAATCTTTTTCAAATTTTATATCGTCCAGCCAATTCAACTCTATTTCCTTAAATCATGTTTTAAAATTTCATATCTTGTATTTATTTAAAAATTCAATTTAAATTTTGTTTAGTATGCTTTTTTTATTATTTAATAAGGAATAGGGTAGTAAAAAATTAATTAATATACTACACGTCTTTTTCAATGCCGTATACTTTCACTCACGAAATATTTGTACATATCACAAGGTTAAAGAAATATTATTGTCGAAACAAAATTAATGTAACAATTTACTTTTACTAAACATGTTCATATTTAGTTAAACATATACATATTTACTTGCTGTTTAATATTTCTATTAGGACATGTAGTGTTCGTTATCACACTTTTGCATAAATTTTAATCATTCATATTTGCAACAAATATTCATAAATTACTGATCGACTGTTCAAGTTGAATCAACGACTCTTTCGCCACAATACCTATTTGACCCTCGGGTGTGTCCGGTGGTTCCAAGCACAAAATGGTTGCCGCCTCTTTTAAAATTTCGGCAGCTTCGATCATTTTTGATTTAAGTTGAGTTTCATTGATTGCGTTTGCATTCCATAGAGTTTTAGCGACAAAAAGCAGTGGTGCATGAAGCTCGTACAATGTCATTCCTTTCATAAAAAACAATTATTCACTCAATATTAATGGTTCTTATGAGAGTGTAATAATATAAACATTTCTATACTATTTTACACAACACTCGTTTGTTTACCTCTTATACGAGAGTAACCTGGTTCTACAACATCCAGTACTTGAAGTAACATGTGGCACATGTCAATTTTGTGTTCCAATACAACATCCGGTAAATCGTCTAGAAGATATTCGTCAACGCGGCCATACATTTGTGTTAATGAATGCCTACAAACAGTCAAACACAATAAATAAAATTATTCTCTATTCTTTTCGAACCTTGCATTGAAACATGCAATTTTGAATTCAGCAAGTATTTTAAATACTAACATGATGACGATCAAACGTAAACTATTCTTTACAAATAATTTCAATATAGAAATTAGGAAAATTAATCACAGATAAAATTAAAAAAAATACATTGTTTCTTCCGTCTAGAATATTTCAGAAAATTATACATTATCATTCATATTTCCTGGATTGGAACTAAACACTTGTTTTTCGCACAATATGGTTACTATCTCTAAAACAGGCTATTACAAATTTCTAAACTTCAATTTATCCGCATATATAACTAACATATAAGAACATAATGATTAGTGATGGAATAGTAAAAGAATTGATAACATTTCTACGACTAAAAACAGTAATAAAATGAAATACGAAGGTACTTTAAAATTAGTCTATAAGTCAATCTATTCCATTTCACTTAATGTTGCATGTTAATTATTGTCACAAAAGCATTATCTGTGAAAGAAAACAATTATTCTAAACCTTACTGCACTGTATCATGAGAAAAACTCGTTTCAAGTACGTAAATAGTCGTTGTATAATTACGTATGTTCTGTTAATTCGTTTGTGAAATCTGCAGACACTAAATTAAATCGATGAAAGTCGAATTTTTAGAGCATGCAGCAATGTTAAACTCACCTTAACATCGTCTGGAAAGCGTGACGAGGATGTAAAACAGAACGATATTTTTTCATAACCGTTTCTCTTTCTTGAATAGCGTCGGCTCCGTCAGCCCCGCTGATTGCCTCCACAGCATCAACTTCAGCTTGAATTATTTGTAATACTTTTCGAACCGCAGCTCCACTGGTCGAGAATTCACAGTGTGTGCATTTCCACGAACTATCAGGGTCTGATAAAAATATTTGAAAGTAAATATTAATTTTATATATTAATGTATAATCTGGTTTAACACTAAACGTACCACGATCGGTCAAATGGCCGGTTTTAAAATTTAATTAATAATTCTGCATTTTCTTTCACCCATTTAATTTTAAATCAATTTAAACATTATTACAAATTACATTATAATAATTACCTAGGGAATCTAAGGATAACACGATTCCATTATCACATTTGTTACATTTTAAGGAAGACATGTGTGTTCCAAGCTCGGTGGGATCTGCACATCTCTGACATGCACACGCAAAGTGCTTCCCTTCGAGAAGATGTTCTCTTCTCAACATAGTCGGAAGTAAAGAGTGTGTATAACTTCCATAAAGTTCACCACCCGGTGGAATTCGAACTGTAGTTCGCAATCGTACTCTGTGAAAAGAATTTTAAATAGCTTTTGAATAATAAAAATATTATCTAAATTATCTGAAATATTTAATTAAATCGTGTAGTTTCTTCCTTCGGAAAACCGTTATATTATATCTCTACTGAAGTGAATATTAATAAATTAATTTTTTTCGAAAATTCTGTTTTGAATTCCACAATGCTTCCTCACTTGCTTATTTAATTATTATTAGAAATTTTTGTCGATTATGACAAAATGTACCATTATTAATTTCTTCGATGTTTAAATTATTTTCATATATTTTCAATATATAAATGTGGCAAGAAAATCGTTTCCGAAAATAACTAACAATTCTCAAATGATTTAAGAAAATCCATATGGGTAAGTATGTTTTAAGAATAGTATCAATGAACATCGTTTTTAATTTATAGTATGTTATTATTGACACATATTTTACCTGTAATCTGTCGGTGAAATGCTGTGACATGTATTTGAAACGCAAGAGTGATTCATCATCGCGACTGTTGGATAAAGCGCTCTTGCACTGAATCCATTCGCTGTTCGTATTTCGAACGTGTTTATTTCTAGTATACCACAAGCTGTCTGGATTTGTTCTTCTGAAAATCTGTAACAAATTGACATCTCACTGTAGAATGTTTTAGAATAATATCAAAAATAAATATAAAGTAATCTATCAATTTTTCTTTATACAAACATTCACAGTTTATTAATAATAAATTTAAAAAATAGAAGAACGTAAATAGAAGAAACATTTCAGGAGTTATGACCTGAATACATTAATGAAGCATTACCTGTCAAGTTTGAGTTGCTTTCTCAAATAATCCACTATATTTACTTGGTCCGCTTTCCAATGTTCTTTTCGACTTCTTACTTTGTTGTGAGCTTCCATCTGCTTTACTTCATTGTTCCATCTTTCAGGATTTTTTTCAGATTCCAACAGCAACCTAAGTGGCGTTACACATTCTAACTGAGGAACACCATTTTCGTTCGTCTGCTCTAAAGCCGCCGCAACATTGAACTTTTCATTTGCTTGTGCAAATATCTGCAAATAAGATTTTCATATATCATCTACACGATTTCAACATAAGAAACAATCTCTTTCCTAATTCTTAAAATCGATTTATTTACAACATATTACGTATAGTTATGTATATTCTTATGTACTTGTTAATATGGATAGAAATTGCAACACTAACAGAACTCGAACAGAATGTACGAGAAAGAGAGATGTGTTTTTTGTTAAGATCATAAATTGCCATATTTTTGCAATAAATATTTGAATTTCATTTACATAGAATACACTATATTTACTTGTAAACATTTTATTCATGAATATTGTATAACAACATAACTAATATATAAGACATTTATAATATTATGTATCTTTTAATCGAAAATTTCTTCAATAGAAAATGGTAATTAATATTTTTTCTATTCCTGAATCACTGTTTTATGTATCATTTCTTATACAGTCCATTTTATCATTTGTTTTCCTAATACATCGTCTTTACGTACATAATGAATACTTGTTTAATAAATAAATAACGTTGCTATAAGCAAAAGTAACTGTAATAAAAATATAGGCAAAACAATAGGTCCGTGAGACCCTGCACTGGCGAGATTATTTTTCACCTGTGCACGGATTAGAATATCTTCGGAATAATTAATAATACTTGAATATTCTCATCGATGGAAGTAAAAAAATTCCTCATGTTCTCTTTGTTTCATATTTCAATTGATTATACCTGGCATTCGTAATCTTTATGTTGCGATTGATTTTCGCATTCTGTGGAACAAACAGGCCACCCGCATTTAGAACAAAGCGGTTTATCATTTGGCGTTGGGGGCCAAGGCGTGTAACACGAAAGGCACAAAGGATAAGTGAATGCCTTTGGACCCACAATGAACGGCATCTCTGTGACAATTTCCTCGCCTGGTTCTAACTCCTTGTTCGCCACCATATATCTGAAAACAAAAATATATAAATAATGATTTTTGTTAACACACTAGGTTTACGAACGTTTATCGTACGGTTTATGTTATTGTTCCTAGAAAGACTGATGTTCATTTCTTTAGATCTTGGAAATTAGAGATTAAAAAATATATTATCAAGATGCATATTTGTATGATTGCATCAAGCAAAACCTGCATACACATTTACCAAGTAATGTTTATACACTTCAATATGCCTAAAATTGACACCTTATCAGCTTTGAATGATCTATATCTGTATATCTATATGAAATATGAACTATGTTTATAATTTTAAATTTATGATATGTAGAAGTATGTATACAAAACATGATGAAAGAAAAATTGTAACTGAAATTAGATAATGAAGTCTATATTATTTTTATACTTAGCTTGGTAATTCATACAATTAATAAATTAAATTTTTCTTTTACTTTGATTTGTGAAAAACCGTTTATAAAACTAAAAAATTGTATAAAAGTTTTAAAATATATTAAGGACTAAAGTAATTAAATTTTATGAGCATTGAATTATTTGAAATTATAAACATTTAAAATTCATGAATAATGAACTAGGTAAAATGATAACTGTCATAATAAAAGGGAAAGTGACATTTAACAAATCTTTCTTTTAATTAATGTCTATTTCTTGGAAATAATTGTAATTTTAGAAGATTTATAAATTTAATGAGAACTATGTAAACAAATATCAGTTCCAATTACCTTCCAACTATATCACTGTGGAGAATCTTAAATGCTGTAGTGCTTTTGCTTTCCAAATTCGATGAACTCTGAAAGAAAATATAAAGATTATTTAACATTAATACATTTTACTAACATTTTTAATTCTTGTTTTAATTTATGAGAAATCATTACAAGAAATCAGTTTCGAATTATTGGACACATAATACAAATTAATATGTTTGCCGCCTATTTTATGGAAGATAAATGAATATATTTGATGTTTGTCAAAAGTTAAATTTAAATTCAAATATGACAGAAACGAAATAAAATTATATAGGAATTTTAATTGTAACAGTAATATGTCACTACAATAACACTGTACATTTATAGTGTGCGTGAATAACGTTGAATCAGAACGGTAGAAAAAAAGGTCAATAAAGGTTTCATAACTTTTTACTTTACTTTCACGTCGAATCCTCGATTGAAATCGTAAAACACGCACACGTATATAAACATTTTCCTTTTACATGTAACGACTTTATCTTCTGCATACACTTTTAAACATTATAATGTTAGTAAGCAAATGTTTGCACCTTTAAGTTAAAAAACAAACAATAAATAAATAATAAATTCAACTCCATACAATCGATTTTAGCACAATATATTCAAATCATACCGAATTTCCCTGCGACATGATTAACAGTCAAATAACACTGGTGATAAAGCAATCTCCTTATTGGTTTTTGCTGCGCGATTTTCACGTCTGACTCAAATCTAGCAATAGACAAATGCGGATGTATTCAAGCCGACTAAAAATCGAATCTTTATATATATAATCGCTTTATTAAAAATATACTATTCACGGAGATTGCCAAAAGTATAATCTAGATGGTACTACTACCATCTTTTACGAACCGCCTTCGCGTAATAAACGTTTTACTATACTGCATCGAGCAGCCAGGGTATTTTTGTCTGTCGAAGCGTTCGGAAAGATCTGAAATACTTCGGTAACATGATGTTATAAATTCTAAACTCATAGTTTCTGACAATATCAGCTCTACATAGAGTTCTGGAACTCCCAATAGAATCTTTAGCGTTTTCTATAAATATTATTCCCTGATATAATAAGCCGTAATTTTTAAACATCTAATTAAAGAAATGATTTTATAAACATAATTTGATGTATGGTTTAAAAATATTGTAATAATTATATGAAATAACTGTTTAAACAAAAAACTGATGAATGATTGAACAGCGTACGTACATTCGAAAATTTTTGTTATTATATCTGTTGAATAATTTAAAATTCGTCTTAGCAAAATATTTGATAAATTATCTTAAAATTTCATTTGCTAGTATGTAGTCGCTTTATTATTGGCTCGTATTTAAATTTATATCTACTGTTAATATATGTATACAAATTTCAATTATTTTTATTAGTATCATATATTTTATTAATAAATTTTTATTTACAGAATAACATTGCACAATATACATGTGTTATCATTTTCCTTACTAAAATTGAAATGCTTTATTGAACGTAGACCGAAGTACCACAGTGTTTTCAAACGTACATGATTACGATAAGGAAATAAATTCGTAAGATTTTCAGTAACGCACATTTGAATGTTTGTACAAACTTTAATTCCTTTAAGTTATTTTCTAAAGATAGAAATTAAATAAAAATTTTTTTTTGGAAGTTTTTACTGATATGGATTGTAGATAGTTAAAAGCCAAAGGTTGCTTAAGTATTGCTTAATGTTTAACGCACTTAAATTGTGAATGAACATATGCACATGCATAC